ATCACTCACTGGTCAGCGGCCTTTGTTTCTGTGTGTTCCAAATTTCACCCACATCATCCGCTGAAACTGATGGTCTTACACAGCCTTGTTATGATGAAAGGCTCGGTACCAGCCGTTGTCCACATGCAAGCAGGCGCATGTGCTTGGCTGCACTTCAATGCAGGGAAGAAGCTCATCACAAAGCGCCATGAGTCCATGAGAGGGATGAGTTAAAACCAGTCGGTCAGCTGTCAGACAGATGTAGTAAATATTATCCCACTCTGCCATCACTTCCAACACAAAAACCCACAGGATCCATGAGCATGGTAATCCAAGATGAAGGCTGCTCTCTACGAGCGTCACTTTCTCCAAAGCACAGCTAATGCTGGGTGTCACACACCGCACACATGCAAACACACACGCATACGCTCTCATCGTGTAACGCTTAGCAGTATAGTCTGAGCAACACACACACATACACACATACAAAACCCGTCAAATAAAATCACAGGCCACAAAGGCTTCTGAGGAGTGTCCAAATCCCAGATGAACGATGAGTTTATGGTTTTCAAATTTCTTGTACGTTTAGGAAAAATCACAGAAGATCAACACAACACAAATCTCAGACTATTATGCATTTTAAAATTTTATTCATGTTACGTTGGGATCTAAGTATTGGCTGCTGCGTCATCTTCTCCTATTATATGTTTTTTTCGTGGCTATTTTAAGAAAGCTTGTTCCGATAAAGAGCTATCCAATGCTCTACGTTAATGTGATCTCTCTTTTTCCACTGAAAAATGCTAAATAATAGGGAGCAACAGCCATGTGCGTCATAGCCTTTTAGAGAGATGCTAAGATGATATGTTGAGTCAGTGTTTTGGTTCAATTTGATGGGACTACTGGAAGCATAGACATTAAGGAGGACTGTTAATTGAGGCGCTCTTGTAAAAAGTGCTTCAACATAAAAAATGTAACTGCACTGGCAGATTCGTCACACGTAAAGTGGTACCAAACGTAATTGAATTCAGTCTTGTAATCACATTGGGAGGTTAATAATAATAATACTAATACTAATAATAATTTTAGCTTTCCTTTTATGAACTCCAGCCTTAAAATATCTCAACAGAAAGCCACTGGATATGTCATCTACTATTTTTTTTTCCACACTCTGTGGTTTCTTACTCATCTACCCACCAATTAATCAATTACTGCAATTAATATAATTTTCTCCTTCATCAGCAAGCCTTTGTAATTTTAGCCTCTCAAAAACCCACAGCATGCTATTCCTACCTATGCCTTGAAAAGCTCTCGAAAGGAGGACAATTAATGTTGAAAGTTGAAATATAACACAAAGAGGACAATCGAGCATGAATGGATCAAAGTGAGGCCTCGCCAGACGAGGTAGGAAAAAGGAAGGGGGGATAGTATGGAAGCATAACTGGTTAACTGAGTCGGTCTGTCCTTATAAAAGCCTTTCCGACACGGTTGTATGTCAAGCTGCCCAAACTCTACTGTGTAGGAGGCCAAACAGGGCAGTATCATAGGAATGAGCCCATTCCTGCAGCAGTTTCTCTATCTGGATGTGGATTTATGACACTGAGATGATTGTATATTTGGCTCTAAAAAAAAAAAAAAAAGCAAAAAAGTCCCTGAGCTTGTGAAATAACTGGGAGGATGGAAGGCCGGGCGGACCTGCCTCTAATAGAGCTGTGCCACCAAGCTTAGTATTTTCTATTTACTAGCACGTCCTGACAATTACAGCAACAGTATAAACATAATCACCCTCTCTGCATATTCTGACAGAATGAACATCCTTTTCACCTACCTCTACTCTCTCTAAAGGTCAGTGTTCTTAGTTAATCAGCAGTGACAAGAGGCTATTTGTCCTCTGTTACTACTTATCCTGTTCTTTCCCAAATTATAAAGTGCTATAGTCTAATGTACTGTAGAGCAGCAATAATTGCTATATATATATATATATATATATATATATTTTAACATCACAAATTGTTCCGAACCTTATACGACCTGATTGTTATAACAGGAAAAGAAGTCGATGCTTCAAGATGCAACTGTGTGTAGATTATCTGGTTGTGATTGCTCAATTCATTCTTCCCAGCATCTTAAAAATAAATGAAGATCTAAACTTGGAATCCCAAATTGAACCCTGTGGATTTAAGTTATTTAAAACTTCCCGATGTTGCTATGGTTGCGCTGTCAGAAACAACAGTGCTTAGCAGTTCACACCCTGTCGAAATGGCCAGGTAAAGGGAAAAAATGTTAACACCAAGCAGCAAATGGCTGTTTCCAAAACCAAGCCAGTCAACACATGAAATCATGCGAAAGCCTTCAAATAAGAGGCACTTTACTGCTCTCAGGTAATTATACCTGAGAGACATATAAGCAGCTTTTTTCCTGTGACATCAATTAACATGGTGCAATGTAGTTCTAGTTGATAGGAATTAAAACAAAGGAAACAATGGTAACTGGTTTGTGTTTAAAAGGGATTTTTGGCTCTAAATCGGCAACAAAATTGCACTGGCCTAGTCACAACTATTCAGCTACTATGCTGGTTCATTTTCCAACACTAAGTAGGCTCTGAATTGGTTGGGGAGGACAAAATGTATCAACCGGGCTTTCAGTACCTCTACGGGTTCACACCTGTAAAGTGAAATCAAACCTTTGAGATTTTCTTATGCCGCTTTCCATCTGTGACTGTGGACAGTCCTGCACAGTGTGGGATAACACACAGCACAGGGGTCAGACTGGATATCGCTGACCTCCGAACAGCCCCGCAGCCCCCAAAATGCGCGTGTGCCTGCTGACATGCACATGCATTAGGGTTATTGTGTGAAGCCTTCAGTCTTTTAATCCCCTAATCTGCTGAACCCTGGAAATCACTTGCAGTCATCTGTCAGCCAGGTCGGAGTGGGCCACAGGACTCAACAGATTCGCACACGAGTGCACACGTACACACAGCCAAACACACACGTACACAAATAGACACACACACACTTTCTCTATGCTAGTCATTTATTCAACAAGGCCAGCCTCATTGCAGGCTAATGAAGATTGATGCTCCACTTTCCAGGACTCACAGGTGTTTCAGTGAAATGTATGTATAAATATATAACCCATATAGAGCACTGGGAAAAGGAAGAGAGATTAACAGAAAGATCATCCCCAACAACATCTATGTGTGATTTAACAACAAAAAAAATGCCATATTTATGTAGAGGTCAACCTGCAGAATATCTGCATGGTAACAGCACTGACTTAATCTTGATGATTAGTTGTGAAGGGACGGCAAGGACATGGACTCAGGGAACCTGTAGTGCTCAGACCCTTAAGTCAACTCTATGCATCTCAGGCCCATTTGTGCATGTGTGTGTGTCATCATGCCAAATAGGACACCGTCAAGGCTAGTCTGGAGATTGCGGTTGACACAGCCTGCTGCTCTCCGGCGTGAGCGCCTATTAGCACTTAAGACCGAGTCTCACTATATGCACACACAAACACGGCAAACTGGCCGTGATTACACCTGGCAGGTCAAACACTGTGGCAAACAGCTGAGCCTGTGCACTCGTCCTTGCGAGCGAACCAGACAAATGGCGAGAGAGAGCAACATATGCACTTGTTTCCATATGCATGCGCTTAAAAGTGTGTCAGAAGTGATCCCACGCAAATCTGAGGGCTTTGCTTCCTTTTTTGATTTCTACGCCCCTGTCAAAAGCTCAAGATGGAGGAATGGAAAGCGGGAGAGAGATCAAAGAGCGTCAGAAATCACACAGACGCAGGCGGGCTTGAAGAGAGCTAAAAAGGTGGAGGAGGAGATAGCAGGGCCGCAGAGAGAAACTGTACCAGTTAGATTGAAGTGTGAATCTCAACAGTGCGTCTCATCACCAAGATCTTCGTGGCATGTGTGTGTGTGTGTGTGTGTGTGTCTGCGTGTGTGTTTCATGTCATAAGGTGCCGATGACTGCCAGGCTCTGGGATATACAGCTGGTGTGTGGGCCTCATATCCCTCGCCACCCTGCTTGATATACAACTGACTTTAAAAGTTTTCCTTATTCATCCTTAAACTTTGTGCCTGAAATCCTTAACTAAAGGTCTCACTCATGTTCATTCCTGTGCGTCCTACACTGTTATGTTCTGCTGCAGCTTGAAGGGGGGCAGCTATCCTGTGCATGAGCACATCACCAACAACAGCAGCAGAAGAAGAAAGAAGAAAGCTCACACTTCCACTGCCCTCACCTCTGATATAATACCAAACAAGCAGAAGAAATATGAATGAAAAAAGCTGAATAAAGTGCAGTGCACAAGAAATAAGAGACAGGAATGCATCGTTGTTGCCGTCCCGAGGAGGGGAGGCAAGAGGCAATGACAAGTCAAGCAGCCAATTAAAGCCCTCCAGCAGCTCCATGTTTCTTATTGTGAACTGAAAGCGTGATTTTGGTTTCTTTTCGAAGGGCACTCACTTAGGTTACTTTCTCATGCACGTTACGGGGAGCGCTGAAAAGAGGATGCTGCGCTGCGGCAGCCATAAACGCGTCGGACAGGAGCTCTTCATCACGAGTCACGACAGGGTCTCGAAGTCCACCCTGATTCTTTTAAGGTTACTACATTTCTTAAAAAAAAATATGCAGCGCAGAATCGCCATGTGGAAACCTCTCACGCCACAAAAAGTCCACCGCAATTAATAAGGTCATTATTGACGGGACTATATTTTTTTGGACGTCTCTACGCATGGCACGTGAACGACACTGCAGACGCGGGGAGATGACCCCGATCACCAATGTCAGCCAAGCGTCAAGGGCTCGCATGAGGACTACAGAATGATATTCGGATAAAAGGCACCTCAATGTCATCGCTCTGCGCTGCCCTCCTCCCCTTCCTACTTGCCACAAGATATGACTGTGCATGTCACACACACACACACACACGTGCTGCTCGGTCACAGAAGCTGGCGGGTTAATCAGCAGCATCGTTTCCACAGGAATACATTGCAAAATATCACGTACCTGTTTATAGTTACGTGCGGCACTCACTGCATAATCCTCCTTCTTCAACTTGAACTTTTTCCTTCCCTCCAACCGAACCAGCCCGAAGCTACTTGACACTTGTTTATTGCATGCTTCTCTCTCACTCTTTTTTCTTGTTTTGTTTGTTTGTTTTTGCCCTGACTATCCTGTCAAGCCGCTATTGAACGCGAAGTGAGATGACAGCACGAGGGGATGAGCTGATAGAGAGGGCAGGCAAGGAGCCTCCAGTTCAGCATCTCACCAAAATCGTGGAATCAAACGGAACCATCCGTTCTGCGCTGGTGGTCGTTACGGGCAAACAGTGCTGACTGGCAAAAAAAAAAAAAAGGGGGGGGGGAAGAAAAAGAAAAAAGCAAACCCCCAAAATGGACCAAAACCGGATGAATACGGCTGTGCGCAAACGGCACGTCTTCCGTTGCTTCTCTTCGGACCCGAGAAACGGCGGGGCGAGCGGGCATGCTCTGAACACTGAACCACGGCCGATCGGTAAAGGCTGCGCGCAGCGGCACCCAGGGAGCGACCATTCACACACACGGTATAGAGAAATGACCGTGGCTCGCGGAGCGCGCGTTCACGGCCCAGCCAAAGTCAGTGGTCATTATCAGCGCATGCCGAAGAGTAATCCACAGTAGGCTGTTACAGCCACAGCTGCAGCACTACGAGATGAGATGCAGGGGATCAGCAGTGACAGCGATTAAACCATCTGAATCCCAAATGTTGAACTATGCTATGTTGAATAGCAGATCACTATTGAGGGCACTTCCTCTATTAATCTAAATCTATTTACATATTATTGTCACTTTAAAACATATTTAACATGGTGTAGGATTTATTCGAAAAATGCATATTCCACTCAGTATTAATATATGATTACTTGAGGACATAATGGGACAATTTCACGAGAGGCAGCGGCAGCAGCAGCAGCTACATTGCCACATGTATTTACAGACTAACAAGCAAAAATTGAATCTCAGTGCATTTTTCAGGAAACTTACACATGCCCGCTTTTGGTGTTAGTGCCTTCTTTCCAGGGCCTGGTGCTCATTACAGTGGTCCTCAAGCATCTCTTTTTAAACAGTGCACCCACTGCACTGCAGGCTACTGTTCACATTAGCACACTGCCTAATGGGCTTTCTCCGTATTAGCAGCAATAGAAAGGTGCAATAATAGAAGCATGCAATTATGCACCATAACTAGGGAAAACATTGTTAACAGTTACCCTATTGCCTCTCACTCTCCGAGCTGTAAATGCATATTTCCCAATGGAGGTATGATAATAACGCCTGCTTATTTGAAAACACCTTGTAAGGAGAACCTTGTGGCTCTTTTGATAAAGATTTCATTTCAGAGGCATTTTTATGCATAACTGGGGATTGGCAGGGGACATAAACCTCCCACTTTCTGCTTTATTTATTTATTTATTTATTTTACTCGTTCATTTTCTTCTTCTTTTTTGGCTTTGGCAATCCATCAACCCGCACACAATTGGTATATTGATTGGGACAAAGGTGTCCACTTATAGCGTAAGTAAAATTTAACAAAACTGCAAATGGGTTTGAATTCACAGATGGCTTGGTTGAATTCAGAGCGAAGGGTAAAAGGAAAGAGGAAGGAATCACTGGATCTCTAGTGGGTAACACAGGTGCAGTACAAGATGAAAAATGCAGATGAGGGTAGGACGGCGTACTGAACCATTTTAAAGTCCCCAAGTGATAACCTAAAAAAAAAAAAATAGAAAGCTTTGACTTGGGCTCATGGTACCCATTCTTAATCATGCAGGTGCAGCTTTGTCCAGGGATTTTTATTTGTCTCATATACTGTCCAATGTGGAGTTTTGTTTTCTTGAGGCTAATGAGCTTAGCTACATTAAGATATAGCAAGGCAGCACTAGTTTGTTGACAACAGTGTGTGATTGCTTCTTATGGCTGCATCCACATCTTTGTTTCTTTAAAGTAAAAGACACAAACCAGAAGACCACAGATTATCATAATGGTAAAAAAAAACACAGAGGCACACCCCCACCTTTCCTTCTGATTTTGCAGGGTGTTAGTGTGGACTTAAAAGCAGTGATGTCAGCAGTATTAAATCAGTCCTTTCTATCCATCTGCACTTAAGTCCTTGCATATGGACACACCTAGAGATTAGCCTTAATATGTCCTATAATAGGCCAACACTTAGCCAGCGAGATGCAGAGACTGGCCAGTGAATAAACCCCAGATTAGATCAACCAGAAGCTAAAACCACATACTTGCTCACAAGCATTTTGCTCATGGTTTTTCTTTTTAATTCGAGCTTCTGCTTACGGCCCTGCCACAAAGCAGGATCAGTTGTGGAAATCCTCCATCCTCTTGTCTTTACTCGCTTCCAATTTTCTGTCAGTATTAAGTAAATTGGTCTTCCCCTACAAATCCAAACAATGAAGAGATATTGTTGCTACTGAGTAAGCTTTTTTTTAAGTATTGTTGTTTTTGTAGTTAGTATTTAAAGTTGCACAAAATAAGTTAGTGTGAAAACCCGATTCTCAGTGGTTGTCTTGCCTAACTCTCGCCACTTAAACATCCTCCCTCATTTGGCCGCTCTCACACGTGCATGTATGCATACAGAGACATAAACACAGACAAGTTTGTGCAGTTCCTTTGCATATATACTCAACCTTAACCTCAAAGTGACTAACCCCAAGCCTTCATCTCACTCCTAACTGTGACCCACATTCGATCTTAATGCTTTGCTGATAATGTCACAACTTCTGCCAAAAGGACCTCTCTCCTGCGCTCTAAAACACAAGTGTGAGCCTCGCATAGATTGACACAGACACAAACAAACACAGGCTACACTTGGCAACAAAACAACGGGCAATTAATCAAACACCTGTTGACGAAGCATGAATTAAGCCCGCAGAAATGCTAATTTTAGCAAATTGTCACGAACGACCTAAAAATAAATGCTAATTGTATCTAACATCTGTGTTTAATTGGCCATGATTATGAAAATTATTAAGAGTCTCACATTAGCAGCAGACAAGAGGCCAGACTGTCCATCCATTTGTTAATTAAAAAAATGTTTAAAAATGTTTATTCTAATGTTATTCTAATGTAGACTATCTGAGATTAAATGGGACGAGATGTGTGGGTCCTTCTCAGGAAGGTTGGTGATCAATCCTAGAACTCGCACAAAGCAACAGTGTGTAGTGCATGCAGACACTGAGAAAGGCCTCAGCCACCCAGAAACTCCTTCTTTAACGTAAGACTAGTTAATGCCTTGCACACTTGCTGCAAACTGCCATCCTTAATCTCAAAAGGGGGTTGCACTGCATTTCCTAGCCTTTTCGGTACCTAGCCTTCTGTCCCATCCTTCTGCCTTACCCCGTAATTAGAAACAGTGAGGCACACAATCTGACCCGTGGATGAATGTGTTGCTTGAGACTTGCTCAAATGAGGAAAAAAATTATCCCGAGGCCAGTTGTCACATGCTATGCGTGTAGATGAGTTAGTTGACCTTTCCCTATCATGAGCCAATATTAGCACAGGCTATTATAACCTATCAAAACTTAATGCTTATAGCCAATGCACAGGGTCCATGAGCCTTACAGCGCTCTGACTGTGAATTGTGTTCCTAGTGCTATCTCTGCTATTACAGACTGCATAGTGTCAGGGGTTCTATTTAACCTTGTGCAATGAGTTCTGTCCCATAGATATATCACCATCAGTCACATCTGCATCCACAAGGGTTAACTCTCAATACAAACTGCATCTGTGCATGCGCCGGGTGAAAACGTGTGCCTTACAAACACAATGAAGAAGATGCATTGCACTGTTAATTATATAATCAATTTGATTAATTTTCAAAATGCAAATGAGCTAATTAAAGGACCTGAACTTATAGAATTAGCACTGATTAGCTGGCTAAGCACTATTGCTGCCCTCTGGATAGACCCTTATTAAGCTATATTAACTGTGCCTTTCTCGATACAGCAATAATATAGCTCGTAAGTTATAACTATTCAAAACAGCATGAAAAGGATGAAGAAAACCTGATGGGCTCTGAGTTAACAAATATGAGAAAAAAGCAGCAGTAATGGGTGTTAGACACACAGTTTCTTTATCCAATTTGCGCTCAGAATAACCTTTGCTGCACAAAATAAAGCTGGTTATTAAAGTCCATATTAACAGGCTTTTGGGCATTCCTTTCAGTCTGTTTCTCCAGCGCCTGTCTATTTGTTTGTCTCTTTAGTAACAAAAGGCTGTGACTTTGTATTTCTGCTCCCAACCATTTCTCTTTTTCTCTCATCTCACCCTCAATACCGCAAGTGCCACTGGGAGCTGGCTGATGTGAGGCAGTAACAGGTACATCGGGGACTTGGAGAGAGTGGAAAGGAGCCCGTTCGGATTGGCACACAAGTCTGCTGTAATTACGTCGAGTAGCGGGGGGG